AATGTTGTGATGACTAAATTCACTTGTAGCATTTAAATGACTGATTTATTATTATTATTATTTCTTTTCTTTTTTTTACATTTATTTAGACAAAATATTATTACAAAATGAATATCGGTCAATTATCTTTATCTTTTGAATTTTTAATATCGCCTATATCTCGTCGTGTATTTGCATTATGCGAGCTTCTGTTCCTCAACGCGAAGGTGCGAGTCAACACGATGATGGACTTCATCTCGGACCATTGAACTCTCACAGCTGTTCTGTGGACGGGACAAGCCTCGTGTCAGTCAGACGGGTTGCTCCATCTGTTAGCGTGCTAGAAAAGTTCCCCTCCTCGCGTTCTGCCTGGGTTCGGCTGTCAGACGTGCGCGCTCATGTCTAACACACAGCTGTATGAGTGTTTGTGTTTGTGTTTGTGTTTGTGTTTGTGTTGTGTTGTGCTCGAGCTCCAGCAGAAGAGCAGGCATCGCTGAGCAGCTGAGCGACAGGAGACACGTGGCCTCGGAGCGGCTCTTCTCCTCTACTGAACGCAGCAGGAAAGCCCTTCTCCAGCCAGCCAGCCATTATCATCATCAACTATCACACTGTTTTGAAAGGAGAACCGTGACACTTTACACGCGCCGGCGTGAGACTGGTGTGGGCAAATCGCTTGCCAACACTGCTGGAATGTCCAATCAAATAATGTCATGTCGAGGTAAAAATGTAAGTCTGGCTAATTTTGACTGATATGCCAATGAAGGGGGGAGGGGGGGTGAGTACTACAAACTCACAGTAGTCGTCAAATATGACAAAATAGTAAATTTCATTTATTAAAATGAATATATACACAACAGTCAAAAGTTTTTGAACAGTAAGATTTTTAGAATTCTATTCTAATATTGTGAAATATTTTTATTATTTAAAATAACTTCTTTCTATTTGAATATATTTTAAAATCTAATTTATTCCTGTGATCAAAGCTATATTTTCAGCATCATTACTCCACTCTTCAGTGTCACATGATCCTTCAGAAATCATTCTAAAATGCTGATTTGTTGCTCAAGAAACATTCTTCTTCTTATTATTATTATCAATATTTAAAACAGTTGAGTACATTTTTTTTCCAGGATTCTTTGATGAATAAAAAGATCCAAAGATCAGCATTTATCTGAAATAAAACACTTTGTGACATTATACATATACCATTCAAAAATATAACATTTTTGGAAATAAATGATAGAAATTAATACTTTTATTTAGCAAGGATGCTTTAAATCGATCAAAAGTGATGATAAAGACTGGAGTAATGATGCTAAAAATTCAGCTTTGAAATCACAGGAATAAATTACATTTGAAAATATATTCAATTAGAAAACAGTTCTTTTAAATAGTAAAAATATTTCAAAATTGTACTCTTTTTGCTGTACTTTGGATAAAAGAAAAGCATAAAAGCAAGCTTGGTGAGCAGAAGAGATTTTAAAAACATTAAAAATCTTACTATTCAAAAACTTTTGACTGCATATGTCTGTGTGTGTCATATTTTCATATTATACATAATATTGTGATAACTAAATTTAATAATAGAATTCAAAAAGGAATAGCGATCAGTTATCTATCGTTCTGTCTATATATAAATATTTAAAAATAATATTTATTCATTTATAATAAATAATTTTTTTAAAAAAATCTATTTTTTGTCATATTTGAGATACATGAGATTTAAAGTAAATAACAATAAAGCAAAAAAAAAAGTCTGCTTTGAATCACTTAATTTTCTTTAGTTTAACCAAATTTACTGTCTGATTGATTGTCAGTATGCTGCATATGTGGTACATTATTAATAGGTATGCTGCATTTTTACAGTGAGGCCTGTTTATCTGACGTGTGGTAAGGATTTGGACACTCAGGTTAAAGAGTTTACTATGTTAACGTCCTCAAACTTCCAGATAACACATGAAGAGTCTCTCTCATGCTGGGCTCTGTGTCTGAGCACATCTTCCTCCTGCTCGCCGCTGTTTACTTTGGACTCCACGATTCATGCATTGGGTTTGTTAATCTAAGAGAACCATTGTTTAGTTTGCATAAAAGATAGTTCAGCTTTTCTTTCCTCGTTTTTCATGGGAGATCCCTCGAGGCTGAACTTCAGAAGGAAGGCCAGTAGATTTTGATAACGTACAAGCAGAGCATTTGTTTTACTCACCCTTGAATCAAAGTTTCCTTTGTGTGTGGGACCGGATCTGTTTCCCAGGCCTGCAGACTCAGGAGGGTGCTTTGAGTTCAAAACAACAAAGAGGCCTGCGCCTCCACTGACTTCCAAGAGCTAGAACAGAATCGCATGTCCTCGCACACAGAAAAACAGGCAGATAGACGGGCAACAGCCTGAGTAAACAGATCTCTGGATCTATAAAAACAGACTTCACTTGCTCCCAAACGAAGCTGGCTGGGGAGTGTCTTATGTTCGGAAATTATGTAATGTAATTCTACTGTGTACTGCCTTTTACTTTTGAATTTTTTTCTCAAATCTTTTAAGATTCTGCACTGTGATAATGGTTATTTAGCATTTTTTAAATCCAATGTTGTGTAAAAAATGTCTGATCAATTAAATAAGTCAAGGTTTTAAAGATCATCCTTGCATACTAGCAGCAGGTCAAGTTGAGGACTCTGCACAGTGCACTATGCCTGTATGCTGCATTATTTGGCCATCTGGCTATTCTATACATACAAAAATGTGCATATTTCAACAGTATATGCATTGCATACTGCAAAGACTGCATAAATAGTATTGTAATTTGCACTTTTGAACATTCCCATGGTTTACAGGATAAGATAGGTAGGAAGTGTTAACCGATCAGTAACTTACCCAGGTGAGGTCAGGTAGCCTAAACATGGGTTTACACTTTCCCCCATAAACTAAAAGCTGTAAATAACTCTTTAAAGCTCTTCGATAATAAGACATCTGAGTAATTTGTAGTGAAAGTTTTATTTTGGATGTTTAGAACAAACATACTGTGCAAAAGCAGCAATAATATCATATCCAAGCACAATTTTTCAATGTTACCTGTTTTAAACACATTATAAGGCAGCATTTTAAGGCTGTAGTTATGTTAATTATCCTTAAGTATCTTAAAATACTTTTCCATCTTAAGATACCTCATTATAGCACAATTATATGGCAGCATGTGTCCTTCACAGAGAAGAAGCCCTGTACTGCAACAAGTCTGTAGTGTGATTTGTGAGGTTCTCACAGTGCTGTTCACTTCATGTTACAGGTATAATGCATAGGAACGCCACCAAAAAGTTATGATTATGAGTGGGAATCTCTGAACTTTCTTTAAAGTAACAGTTAATCCAAAAATGAAAATTTGCTGAACATTTACTCACGCTCAGGCCACACAAGATGTATATGAGTTTGTTTTAATTTAACATTACATTACTTGCTCATCAGTGGATCCTCTGCAGTGAATGGGTGCCAGTCTACCAATTAATGTCTTGTGAAGTGAAAAGCTTCATGTTTGTAAGGAACAAATCCATTTTTAAGATGTTTTAACTTTAAACTGTTGCTTGTGGACAAAATACTTAACCCATAATACTCTGTAATCCATGATAACGCTTTCTCCAGTGGAAAAGTCCATTCCCTGTTGTTCCTTTACAAATCTGTTTTGGCTTGTAAACTCCTAATTCAGGTGGCTTTTTTAAAGGAGGAAACAATATTATGGATAGAGGACTTATTTCATGTTAAAAATGTCTTGATGGATTTGTTTTATACAAAACAGCTTTTCTCCTCACAAGATGTTAATTGATGGACTGGAGTTTTGTGGATTATTGTGATGTTTTATCAGCTGTTTGGACTCTCATTCTGACGGCACCCATTCACTGCAGAGGATCCATTGGTGAGCAAGTGATGTAATGCCAAATTTCTCCAAATCTTTTCCACAACTCATCTACAACAATTTTTGGGTGGACTATTCCTTTAAGCCCAGAGTTTCCAAGTTGGGGATGAGTCAGATGCAATATTGTTGGTAGATTTCCTGAAACTAATTATTATTTTTCCAGTTGCATGCCCAAATTGCAACAGTGTTTTATAATTGTGATAGAATATTTAACACGTTTAAATTCAATTCACAGCACTTTATAAATGAAATAAAAACATAAAATAGCAAAAAACACACTGATGCACATTCTTTATTCATCATGTTGTAGAAGGACTTTTTAATGCACTGACCAAATGACTGGAACACACATAACATTGAAATTATGACTTCCCAAATCGTAAATATGAACTTCCCAGGAGGACTTGAACGTGTCATTTGTAGAATGATCTGAATCAGTCACTTGTGAGGTTTCACTGCTGTCTTAAAAGGCAGCTGACTATGTAGGCAGCTCACTTCAAAAACCACAGAAGGTCTGAAGGGTTTAAATCTGAACATACTTGCATGATTTCAGCATGTCTCTCTGAGACTTGTTTAATATGTGGTTGAGGCATTTTGCGTTAACAGCAGCTAGCTGGCTAAAGCTCTCTGCTTTGTTCTCCAATCCTGAGGTTAACGATTTTCCGTCGTGGGAGGCGGGGGAGAGCAGCGGCAGAATTAGGATTCAGCTCCCATCCTCAGCACCGAGCGGCTGTCTGCTGCCTACCCAGCAACCCTGGCGCTTTGTGACAAGGAGATGGATGATATCTGCAGCCTGGCCGGCCACTCTATGGGTAAAGACACACACACACACACACACACACACACACGTCTGCAAGCACACAGGGTCTCTCTCACACACACACACACACACACAAACACTTCCCAAAGCCAGCAAGGTTGTACGCACACACATGTAACTAATGCTGTGATGCTGCTGCTACAACCTTTAACATGTAACATAGATCAGCAAAGCCGCATCCAGCTTTCTTTATGATTGTTTTCTTCATTTGTGAAAATATTGCACTTATGCATATGGAGGGTGTATTTAAAAGTGTGTAAGGTTAATGATTTCATATGGTAAAAGAGAGACAACAATTAATACAGTAATATAAACAATTTATTAGACAGTCTTAAACATTTACAGCATTTTAAAATACAAATATACAAGAGATTACCAGACTAATGGGCAGCTGTGGTCTGAGCGTGTGAGTGTTCGTGTGTGTGTGTGTGTGTCACTGGACAGTGTGTGAAAGCAGAAGGTCAAAGGATCTGTCTCTTCTCCACTTCCTTTAATGCGGGAGTGTATTTGTGTGTCAGACTCACCTGCTGAAACTGCTACTGCAAACTTATACACACACACACTGCTTCATTTCTACACACTGTGGGAAAATATTAAGGGTTTGAGATTGAGAAAAAAGAACAGAAAAAATATTTATTTTTAATCAGTACATTCATCTTGTTTTCCAGTAAAAATATAAACTTACTGCAAAAAACGGACAAGAAACAAATATATATATATTAGTGCTGTCAAACAATTAATAACGATTAATATGTGTGTTGTGTATATTTATTATGTATATATACAGTATATATTTTGAAAATATTTACATTTATTTACATGTACATATTTATATTCATATAAATTATACATATATTTAATATATAAACATCTTATTTTTCTGAAATATATACATGCATGTGTGTGTATTTATATATATAAATATATAAAATAAAACATGTAATTATATTGAAAATTGCCAACAACTTAAAGATAACTTTGCTGAAATGTCTGCTTATAAGTACATTTATCTTGTTTTGATTTTTTTAAAAGGTAAAATAAGGCAAATATATATATAATATATTTTTTGCTGTGCATTGAGCGGGTTTTGAATAATGGTATTATTTTATGGCATATCCTAGTAAATAGTAAGAATGCGTGTAACAATATCAAGTTAATCTGCAAGTTACCTGCAAGCTGAAAATAACATCTGCACCTAAAAAGAAGTCTGTATTAAATCTGTAAATCTGTGTTATTTTGCACAGTCATTCACAACAGGGATTGTTTTTTTGTGTGAGAGAGAGAGTGCATATTAGGATCCAGACAGGTTTATATCTCTGCCAGAGCTCACTGTATGTTGAAGAACAAAAAGATGTCTGGGTTGTGTGTGTGTGAGAGAGAGTGCTTGAGGATTGCTGGGGTGCTCACGCAGCTTTTCATGCAGGTAACGGGAGCACCTGCGGCCACCGCTAACCGCCATCCGACGGGTTAAAAGCTCTGACTGGAGGAAGACGCTCAGAGCAGCCGCGGGGTCCACTGGAGTCCCATCGGCTGAGAGAAACCTGTGAGACAGAAGCTAATTATCCTCTAAAGCAAAAAGCCAGTTGTGGTTCAATAACTCCAGCACGCTGCCAGCCAGATACTGCGTTTCCTTGGCAACGCCTCCACAGCAGTACTGCAGACATCACAGAGAAAGGCAGGCGGTCACAGGGTACACAGGGCAGGATGAATCGGGGAGGAAAGACTTTACGAGTGACGGGCCGTCCTCTAGACTGATGCAGGCCAATTACAGGCCATTACACTCGGCTGAGATTGATCTGCTTTCTTTACGTTTGGTGTCCCAGAGATATGTATAAAATAATGGCATTTTCAAAATTACTCTGTCTGACCTAATCAAACCCCCAGCAGACAGATATTATCAAAACTTTAAACCCTTGGACCACAAAGTAGACATGCACTTTTTTGAAATATGATTGTTATCAACTAAAGGGACACCTGGCAAAAACACACATAATCATTTGTACCTCTTTAATGTGTCTTTTTATGTTTGATGCAAGTTTCAAGTTTAGAATCAGTTTTCATACGATTAGTGAAAATGATGAAGTACCAATCTGACACATCAAAGAACATTTTGAGATTTTGGCTCCATCACACTGAGCTCTTCCTAGCTGAGGCTAGTTTAACCATCAAAACAACACAATCATACAAAAGAAATCATACAATCATACAATCATACACTCTCTCAAATAAAGATTCTTCATTGGTATTGATGGTTTCATGAAGAACCTTTAACATCCTTGGAACCTTTCCATTGGACAAAATGGTTGAAAAGTGAAAAAGTAGATTATTAAAATGCTCTTCACACTGAGAAATAGAATATTGTTCAGTGAAAGGTTCTTTGGGGAAACCGCAATGGCTCTTTGGCACTACTGGGAACCTTTATTTTTAAGAGTGTTGGAAACCAGTATATAATAGAAATGTATCTCTATACCAATAGCCAGTGAAAGTTAAAAGAAACACAAAGTGTGTGAAACAGTGAAAAAGTAATATATTTAAAAAACATTTATTTCATACTAAGTATAGTTCAAATCTATTAACATATTTACTGACATATCGCTTGAGACTTGCTGATATAAAAATGATAATTAAACTTTATTTGGAGAACTTGTGCACAATGCAAACTTCTTTATTATTACAAAATAATAAAATGACTAATACGTGGCCTCCAGTGGCTTACTGCTTTAATAAAAGGGTGACAACAAATAATGATAAAATAAGCTTTGATTAACACGCAGAAATATTCTGAATGAACAAATTTAGCAGGAAGTAATATGCGTAACACAAGTAATATGAAACAGATTTGAGACTTGATCTGTTTTACCAAAAATATTTTTGTTATGGCCAATATCAGATATGATAACTGGAACAGTATTTACAATAGAATCTCAAATTTCAAATGTTGTATTTGTAAAGTGAAATTAGAAATCAAAATTTCATGTACAGCACAGATGATCAATACCTGTTCAGTACTTTTGAGCACTAAAGTAGAATTTGAGTATATTGGAAAATTAATGTTTGTCATCATTATGCTCATCAATATATTTTGCACAATGAACAAGTGCATTCTGTGTCAGTGGCAGCATCTGGATGTACGCAGATGTTCTGAGGCTCCGTGTGTTTGCACCTGTTATTTGTACCTGCAGTGAGCAGTGAGAAGGACCCACTGTTTCCTCTGACCTGCACTGATAGCATGCACCACAACAATCCCTGACAACCAATGGAAGAAAGATTCCTGTAATCCTGTAAATTCACCCGGCTCCTGCAGCTTCTCCTGCCTGAGCTCTCAGTGCTTAATCTACTTTCAGTAGCTTTATCCCAGACAAATGTTAAGTTTATTTAAACCGCATGTGGTTAGCGAGAACACACACACTCACACACCATCAGCGGGCTCTTTTAATTCCTCAGTGGCCAGTCTGTATCTCCTGACATTTATCAAGGGAATCTTTCTTGCGGGCTATGACAAGGGTGACTTCGTGATTCTTGGGTGAACTAAACGATTCGATATCAGGTTAGGTATGTTTTATATTTCAAAATGTTTGATTTACTGCTTTCGGTGTACATTGATATAATACACATTTCATGTTATAAGTGCAAGCATTTTTTATTTAATTTTAAACTGCAAACAATTTCTTCATCAACATTTCTGTCTTGTTGTCCATTAAAATAAAACAAAATAATTTTACTTCAAAAGTAAATGTACTTTTCTTTTTAAGCGCACATTCAAGTCAATTAAGCAAGGTTTATGCACAATTTATGAGAATTATAGGAATTATATATTTAATTTATTATTTCATTATTCATAAAGTTATTTTGTCAGTCTATGAATAAACTTGTCTCAGTCCATCCGTTTTATTTTTAGCTAATCTAACCAGACAATTTATTAAACTATTAATAAATATTTCTAAATATGAATAAAATATCAAACTATTTCAAATTCATTCATTCATTGTTTGCATGTCTGACCATCTTTCTGGATGCCTGTGTCAGGTCAGACTTATCAGCCAGAAAACTAAACATTTTTTGCTCTGATACACACAAATGAAACAGTCCAATGTGCTGTCAGCCAAAAATGTAAATATGAAACCATGCCAATGAGGCTGAGACATCAGACCCTGATGCTTGCTGGACCATTCAGAAGTCGGGCCGTTTATTAAATAACAAAATCTTCGTTCCTGGCTGGATCCAAGTCTTTGTTCCTTTTCTCATCTAGCTGATGAAATGGGGTGTGTGTGGGTCAGTGTGTGTGTGTGTGTGTGAGCGTGTGGGATGAGGGAGTATTTATGTGCTAGCTCAGATGAATAGTGTGAGCAGCACACAAGATTTTATCTGTGCGTTGGCACTGCCAGCCTGTGCTGAGTGTCAGACGAATCCTAATAAAACTGTCTGACCCCGCGTTGGGCACCAGGCTGGCGCTCGCTGGTCGTGGCTGATTGCTTGGTATGCACAGAGCAGGGCAGAGCTTCAGCTGTTGCTGGGAGCTTTGTGGCACAGACCCAGCCTGATTAGTTGGCATCCGCCATTGTTCAGAGTGAAACCAAGCAGGGGAAAAACATAATTAGAGAGAGAGAGAGAGAGACAGACACAGAGAGAGAGAGCAATAGGGGGAAATCAATTGTTTTGAAACTATATTTCTAATGTGGGTAATTTAGCAAAATTAGGTTTTCAAAAGTTAAACACTCCAGGGAGATAAAGAACAAAGCCAGGCGTTAGACTTAATGAGTTCACATCCTTAAAGCAGAAAAGGAGACCACAGCTCCATGCCAACCGGACCCCCTAAAACTACCATCCGTCTGGAGTTCAGTGTCATTTCTGCTCAAAAACAACATGACGACGCGTATAAACATGGATGCCTTTAAACGCAATAATCTGCAAGCCGCATGTTCTTCTCACAGCAAAGTCTGGTTTTCAAGAGGTAATGAAGTCTATTCATAGAAATCGGTTTTGTGTAAATGAAAGTGTTAGCGTATGTTGGTTCAATATGTCGCTTGTTTTTTTTGCACAGACATGTTTGGCTATGCATCAGACAGATTTTACGTTACTGGATTAAACAAAAAATTACATTACATCTGGTGGATACATGAGGATAAAGCCAAGCAGACTTGTTTCATAGTAGTGCAGGTGCTGGGATCTTGGCTGCATGTTTTACCTTCATTTAAGAGAAAATCTTTGCAAAAAGACAAAAAAAGATTCCAGAATTCAATTAAATTTTTTTTAAAATCAAGAATTATTAGATTGTTAATCGCACACCAAAAGAAACTGGTGTGGGAATAACTGATTGTTTTCAAAAGTTAAACACTCCAGGGAGATAAAGAACAAAGCCAGGCGTTAGACTTAATGAGTTCACATCCTTAAAGCAGAAAAGGAGACCACAGCTCCATGCCAACCGGACCCCCTAAAACTACCATCCGTCTGGAGTTCAGTGTCATTTCTGCTCAAAAACAACATGACGACGCGTATAAACATGGATGCCTTTAAACGCAATAATCTGCAAGCCGCATGTTCTTCTCACAGCAAAGTCTGGTTTTCAAGAGGTAATGAAGTCTATTCATAGAAATCGGTTTTGTGTAAATGAAAGTGTTAGCGTATGTTGGTTCAATATGTCGCTTGTTTTTTTTGCACAGACATGTTTGGCTATGCATCAGACAGATTTTACGTTACTGGATTAAACAAAAAATTACATTACATCTGGTGGATACATGAGGATAAAGCCAAGCAGACTTGTTTCATAGTAGTGCAGGTGCTGGGATCTTGGCTGCATGTTTTACCTTCATTTAAGAGAAAATCTTTGCAAAAAGACAAAAAAAGATTCCAGAATTCAATTCAATTTTTTTTAAAATCAAGAATTATTAGATTGTTAATCGCACACCAAAAGAAACTGGTGTGGGAATAACTGATAATCCCGGCCCTTCCTTCTGCTGCCGATGCGATAAAGGTCATTTATAAAATGAGCTGCAGTGGCGACCAGACAGCCAGACTGAGCGATTAGCATGACGACCCTCTCCTGCACCCCTCACCCCAAATAAAAAACACCTCAGCAAACATACAGGATTGATTTTTATTTAAAATCCAGAAGAAACCATCATCATCATCATCATCATCATCATCATAGGCTTGTGAACATATTGAACATTCAATCTCTCAGACACGCCAGCGCCGCATCCTCTCTCTCGTCCACCGTTTCTCTCTTATCTCTCACAGACATCCGTCCCACGTCCGTCTCAGTCGGGACACGGCCAGGGGATTGAGTGCTTTTGCCCTCTGCCCAGGTCCCAAGAGCTTAACCTGTGATTTTCAGCACACAAAGCTCACAAGTTAGGGTCTCAGGGACCAGGAGGAGTGCAGCGGTGTCCACACAGGTTAGTAACATACACATACACACACACACCCACACAAGTGTTGCACACTCACGTCCTCTTTCGTCCAGCATAACGAAGATTATTGCTAATAATGTTCGGCCTATGGAAATAAAATGTGCCTTTTTCATTGCAGTTTAGAGCCACAG